GATCTCCTTCTATGACAAGGTGACCCGCTTAGTGGATGAGGGAAAGGCTGTGGATGTAGTGCACCAGGACTACAGTAAAGCCTTTGACATCATTTCCCACAGCATTCTGGTTGAGAAACTGGCTGCCCATGGCCTAGACAGGCATACTCTTTGCTGGGTAAAGAACTGGCTGGATGTCTGGGCCCAAAGGGTGGTGGTAAATGGAGTTAAATCCAGCTTGCAGCCAGTCACAAGTGGTATTCCCTACGGCTTAGTATTTGGGCCAGTTCTGTTTAACATCTTTATCAACGACCTGGATGAGGGGATTGGGTGTGCCCTCAGCAAGTCTGCAGATGATGCCAAGTTGGGTGGAAGTGTTGATCTGCTTGAAGGTAGGAAGGCTCTACAGAGGAATCTGGACAGGCTGGATCAATGGGCTGTGGCCAATTGTATGAGGTCCAACAAGGCGAAGTGCTGGGGGTCCTGCCCTTGGGTCACAACAACCCCATGAAACGCTACAGGCTTGGGGATGAGTGGCTGAAAAACTGCTTGGCAGAGAGGGGCCTGGGGGTACTGGTGGACAGCTGGCTGAATATGAACCAGCAGTGTGCCCAGGTGGTCAAGGCCAATGGCACTGGCTTGTACCAGGAATAGTGTGGCCAGCAGGAGAAGGGAAGTCATCCTTCCCCTGTATTCAGCATTGGTGAGGCTGCACCTTGAATACTGTGTTCAGTTTTGGGTCCCTTGGTTTAAGAAGGACAATGAGGTGCTGGAGCATATCCAGAGAACGGCAACGAAGCTGGTGAAGGGTCTGGAGCACAAGTCTTATGAGGAGCAGCTGAAGGAACTAGGGTTTAGCCTGGAGAAGTGGAGGCTGAAGGGAGACCTTATTGCCCTCTACAACTACCCGAAAGGAGGGTGTAGTGAGGTGGGTTGTCAGTCTTTTCTCCCAAGTAACAAGTGATTAGCATGAGACAAAATGGCCTCAAGTTGCACCACGGGAGGTTTAGATTAGATTTTAGGAAAAATTTCTTCACTGAAAGCGTTATCAGGCACTGGAATGGGCTACCCAGGGAAGTGGTTGAGTTCCCATCCCTGGAGGTATTTAAAAGACGGGTAAACAAGGTGCTTAGAGACATGGTTTATTAGTGGACAGGTGTGGTTGAACTTGATGATCTTAAAGGTCTTTTCCAACCAAATGATTCTATGATTCTATGTCATTACTGGCAGAAATTTATTTCATGTTTTGTAATCAAAAAACAATGGTTATTACCAGCTTGTTTTCAAATGAAGTTATTTAGCTGTAGTTTTATTATTTTATAAAAAATAGTTTTAAATTACTAATTTCAGTTTCACAAATTGGAAAATCCTGAATACTATGATTTATGCAAGGAAGAATGTAATTTTCTTGTTTGTGACTTATCTTGGGGTAGATTTTTGAGTTCCTTGATACTGATAATAGTTTTTTAAAATATATACACATACATGTAATATAAAATATATCTACTTATTTTTTAAATTTATGGTTGAAAATCCAATAAATGTACTTAAAGCCATTCTCAAAATACTGTGGTGTTTAGTCTTAGCAATTCCTCTCAACTCTTGTGTTCAATCTTAGGAAGTTACTCATCTTTGACAATCTGGCCTTCTAGACTTGATGCCTTGCTTTGGTAGCGCTTCCTTTCAAAGATAAGCGTCCTTAGAAGCCTGAAATTTTTAAGGAGATCCATCCTTTGCTACATCTTCAGCTTTCTAACAATTTGAAAATCTTTATCAGTCTCAGTGATATCTAGCAACCGTTACTTAACTTAATCAAGTACTATCTTTTGTCAGTGGAAAATATCTCTCAGTGTTATCACAGAATGGCAAGGGTTGGAAGGGACCTCGGGAGATCATCTAGTCCAACCCCCCCTGCTAAAGCAGGTTCTCCTAGAGCATGTTACACAGCATTTCATCCAGGCGGGCTTTGAATATCTCCAGAGAAGGAGACTCCACAACCCCCCTGGGCAGCCTGTTCCAGTGTTCTGTCACCCTCAGAGTAAAGAAATTTTTCCTCATATTCAACTGAAACGTCTTATGTCTCAGTTTGTATCCATTGCCCCTTGTCCTGTCGCTGGACACCACTGCCCTTTTCTCTCTACCAGTAGTTATCTTGTATGCTTCCATAACAGCATCCCACATACCTTCTTTTCCATCTAATAGTTCTGTATGTTACAGCTCTCTCTCCTCATATGGAAATTGTTCCAGCTCTCTAATTATTTCCATTGTCCTATTCTTTTCTGGACCATTTCCATTTCTGCTGTATCCCTTATGAAATATAGATGACTGAGATTTACTAACATATAAGACAGTAGTGGTGTCACTGATTTATGTATCACATTCTGTTATTCTGTATCTCCAAGTAAACACCAGTTCTCACAGCTTATTTTATGTTTTGAACATTAGTGCACACATAAAGGCTTCATATTTTTGTGTGAATTTAGAGTAGCTCTAGTTGTACTTCCCAGCATGCATACTTTTCCATCTTCAATATATATTTGCCCAGACTGAAGCTGGTGTTATTTTTTGGTACAACGAAATGTTTTAGTATTCAGCCTTCATTAGAGTCGTCTTGTGCTCCAGGATGATATTATTATTTTAACTTAAGCTGTCTGGCTCCGTTTTCAGCTGTGAATGTACTTACCAAAAATATTGGTCAGCTAGACTTATACAGACAGTAAGTGGAAACATTTCTACAATTATTTCTCTTTAAATAAAAAAGGAATCCAAGGAAAATCCTGAACACGTTAATACACAAAAGGTAATGGAGTCCAAAATCAAGAGTTTGAGTTAGGCTATTAAAATTATATTTAAGCATTTAACTGTGCTGAGCATCTTTTGCCTCCACAGTTCCTCAGAATTAAAAAAAAACTGCTGAAGAGTCAGGTTTTCAGGCACCTGAATTTGTACCCAGGAGTCCAAATTTAAACATTCACTTCTGTAATCCTCACTCAAAGTTTTTATAAGAAGCAGGTGAGGAAACTAAGTTTAGGAGAAATGTTGGTTTTCTTGGGTTTTTTTCTTTGAATCAAATTCAAAATTATTAGAAAATCTGTTTCTAACCTTAAAAAGAACTTGCACTGTATCTCTGTATGAGAATAATATATCTTTCATTTTTATATTAATTTTAAAGTACTCCCGAGCTCTATTAGAACACTCTGAACGCAGCTTTGCCAGTTTTCTTTGCCAAAAGACCATAAAACATAATAAAGGATTTGCATTGCATCATAATGTTTCTCTACTGATATGAGAACAGCCTACTATGAAGGACGTTATTTGATTCAAAATGCTGGGCAACAGTATAACAGAATAAGCAGAAGGGAACATTTAGAATGAACATGATCGGGGAAAAAAAAGGTTTGCTTTTTTTTTTTAAAAAGTAGTCTATCCACACAGGCCCAAGCATGCAACACTTCCAAAGGAAGAGATGTAATCCTCGTCACTGGAGCAGTTCAGATTTAAGCCACACAAGTTGCATGGGAATATATAGCAGAGAGCAAACCCACACTGCCTTGAGCTGAATAGTTTGAATGATCTAATATGTCCTTCTGCCTCTTAAACAGAGGATTGAATAATGATGCAGGTGACAAGGTTTTGACAGGGGGGATGGGGTTGTTGTTTGGGAGTTTTGTTTGGTTTTTGCTTTTTGTTTTTTAGATAATTTATGGCACTTAAAGCTCTAAAATTACAATGAGCAAATATGATGAGCTTTTCGGACTGCTGGTGCTTACCCTCACATAGACCTCTTTCATTCATACTTCCACACTCACTGAATGACTAATACAATTTGCACATCTACAGCTTCTCTCTAAGTTTACCCAGTACCCTTTCTCAGAAGGGTTTTGATGGCTTCTTCCCAGATTTATTTTCTTTTCTCAACTTTATTTCCCCCAGTATTTTTAACACTCTGCATGCCATACCAGGCACAGCTGTTAATCCCCTTTTAGCTGCTGTTCTTAGCATATGCCTTTTCTCTTATATTTTCCCTTACATTTCTTCTTCCCTCTCTTCTGTATGACTTTGCCTTGTTTTTTGTAGTTACTAATTTGTTCTTTCCAGTGTCCCAATTCCACCCTTTACATTGGTCTCCATCCACACATCTCCCTTGACCAGTTCTGATAAAAGGCATTTCTTTCCAGAGACATTCTGCAGTGTCTTTAGCATTTGAAAACTGAAATCCTACCTTTCTTTCTCATTGTCTGTAAGAAACCTGTTTACTAGGAAAGGCAGACTTGAGGAGAATTGTCCTAAAGTCTTTGTCAACACCTTCTTTCGAAAGATGTTACTTCTGTTCCTAATGCACTCAGAAACAAACAAAATCTGGCAAGGCAGAAGGAAGAAAAATGATCCCTTATTATAAATAAAATCTCATTCAAGAGAAGAGATTCATCTTTTGTATGTCTACAACACCAGAAGTTCCTACATAGAATCATAGAATGTTTTGGGTTGGAAGGGACCCCTAGAGGTCATCTAGTCCAACCCCCCAAGTTCATTAACAATGTCTCCCATATATATGTATAAAGTTCTGAGTTACTTTCCTTTGTTCAGTAGTCTGTTCTCTCCATTGATTGTAAAGGAAGTCTAGAGTAAATTACATGTAGGCATCTATAACATTAATATCCACATTTGGTTGGATTACTCCCAGAAGGAGAGAGATGCTCAGGGGAACAAATCAGTACTGTTAATGTCAAGTCAGTGGAATTATGGCCTACATTAGCTATGGTCAAAGTATAACAACTCAATGATATTAAGTTTTAAAAAATAAAAAATGGGTGTTAGTACAAGGGTCAGCCTCAGCACTGTCTGAACCTTATTTGATTTGTGGATTCTCATCAGCTCTTTTGTCCTCAATTATAATTGTCTTCAATTACAATCATTTTCTTTCTTGGAATAAGGTCATTAAGTTCTGCCTTTCCAACAATTCAGGACTTACTTCAGAAGAAATTTCCTAGTACTTCTAATGTTTTATGTTACTTTCTTACCTCCTTCCTTGGAACAGAGGGTGATCAGAGTGTGAACTGTATCCATCAATTCAAGTTGCTGTTTCTGCAGGACACTGTTATTGCTTGTTGCCTTGTTTAGCTGCTTCTCTAGTTCCTGGATTATGTAGCTTTGTCGTGTGACCAAGCTCTGCAGGTTCTCTTTTTCCTCCTTCAAAGTGTCCAGCTCCTCTTTATGCCTTTCTTCCATTTCTAAAATTCTGTGCTCAAGTAAACTAAAATAAAATAAAATAATTAGCAGATATTATTTCATGCCAACATATTTATTAACACAGAAAATAGAATTATTGTATTTTTCCCCATAGAATTCAGTACATAAATAATTTCTTCTAAAAATGTCACATCTACTAATTCAGCTCATTGATTTCCTCTATCAAGCACTCAAATATAACTGCTCTCTAAGGTTCCATTTTGTGACATTTGCATGCTGTAGTGCTTAGAGTGTAGTGCATAGAACTGCATATCCAGTTGTTACAGCCATCCAGGTGCATGAGCCAGTAACAAGTTCGTATATAGAAGTTCAGTCAGAAAAGCCTAAAAGCAGACGAAGGAGAAGAGCAGAGCATTGAAGAGGACATCATTGGTAGTTTGGATGGGTCAATATGATAAGAGACAAAAATCAGGGGTAAACTAAGGAAAAGTTTGTGAAGGGCCTTACCACTGAATGGAAGATAAGCACTATGAGCTATGAAGTACCATCAAGGGATATGGAAGCCACAATAAAAGTATCATTTGATGTGGTCTGTGATGCTGGGAAAGGAATTGTGCACCAGATGAGGGGTATCTGCTTTCACATTAATAATAGTACTGTTTCCCCAAAAGAAAAATCAGAAGTTTGCATTTTAAAGTAGGATTCCCTTGTTTTCCTTGAGTCCACATAGATATTTCCTCCACTGCCCCACCGTTTCTAATTTGACAAAAGGCTCCTCAGTCAGAAAACTGTTGGGAATCATACTACGTGACCTGCTTACATCAATTTTTATAAATAATTTTACAGAGGTATGGAAACACTTTCTCCTGGCTAATATTCTTTTTCTAGTACCCTCTTGTCCTGCGTTGGAAGTGTACAATTTACAAAGATCAAAGGCACATCAGGCTATGTCTAGAAGAATAGAGGAGTTGTAGACATAAAGGACAGCTAATATCTGTCAACAGTGAACAAGAACTTTTTTCTGGCCAGTGCTTTGATGTTGTGGTGGGAGTTTAGCAGAAAGATTTTATTAATATTAGATAAAGAAATTAATTCAGTCCCTCTGCTACTTTCTGTTCAGTTATTATACTGTATACACCAAAAGAGGTGTTTCTCATGCCCATAAACCAACTGTCGGTTACAAACTTGCCAACAAACTGCTTCCTGTTCAAGTCAGTCTTAGGTTTTATTTATTTGCACTCTCCCCCCACCTTTGTTTTTACTTCTGGATAATAGATCAGTGGCAAAATGCCTGCATAATTTCAGGTCATTTAACCTAACTGAAGAATGTAATAAAATCCATATGGGGTTGTTTCTACTAGATATCACGGAGCCTTAATATGAGCTGTTACAAATGATAACAATGCAAAGATTAAATTCAGGGCCTGGATTTGCTGTACAAGCTAGAGTAATATAAAACTTTTTTTCGTTTTTCTTTTTTTTTTTTTTTAAATAAAAGAAACCAAGCAGCAAATCTCTTTTTCTGAAATGTTATAAACGTGGGACTTGCAAAAATACTGAAGAAAATATACTTTGTAATATCAACATACCTAGTTCTGTGAAAACCAGAAGGATCTGGGTAATGGGAGGAAAAAAGAAAAGATGGGAAGGGAAAACACTTTTTTGTGGGGTCCCAAATGCAATGGGAAACATGATATCTCATTCTAAAAGGCTCATTAATTAGTAATGAAAGCATAACAAGATTCAGTGGACTGGAATCAGATGATAGAAAGTTTCAATCTGAAACAGAGTACGGATTTTGAAGCCAAAGACAATAAATTATTTTAACACCTTATCAGGCCTGTAGCTGATTTTTTCATCACTTGAACTCTAACATTAAACATGATGCCTTTATATTCTAAACTCTTATGGACTTTTTGAGAGTATTTATGTGGAAGTCTTTGAGCTTTGTTATGCAGATGGTGAGACTAATTAGTTTAGTTAGGCAGAAGTGGTTGGAAGTGTTCTGATGGAACTGGTTATGGTCATAAAATACTGTTGAATTAAATAAAAAATGTTCTATGTGAATTTTATCAGTTCTGTCCACTTTTTCCATGGGAATTATTGAAATGCTCATTTTGAGTCTAGATTTTAATTTTTGTGATAGAATATAAGTTGTATTAATGTACTTTGGACACGAACAAGGTAGGCCCTGGGCACCTGCTAGGTGTGGTCATGTCCCAGTCTGACTTCTTACAGTCCATTGAAAATGTTGTGTACTGTCAATGTGAGAGAAGATGCCATTCTTGAAGCCAGAATATTGCTTTATAGTTAAATGGTAAGTATAGACAAAAAAAGTTCCCTTAATCTTTGTCCATGTCCTAGGCATTTCCCTAATTCCACAACATCCTATCTGCATGACCACATCTAAATGATTTCCAAATTTGAATGATTTCATGTAAAATCAAGAGCCTTTGGCAACCACAGTTTGTGCATTGCATTATTTGTTTCCCACCGTAGCCTAACAACATAGTAAATTAACCCATGGCGATGACAGTCTTATTTGTAGCCACAGTGACCATGTCAAGCAAGAAGGAAGAATGTTCAGAGCTTCCCACTTTGGCATCTACAAAGACAGAGAGCACGCAGATGTTTTACAGCTTTAGTAATAATATATCCTAATATTTATGAGTAGTGTGTCAACAACATGTGGTAGAAAGATGGGAGCATCACAGCATTCAGTTCCTTTAAAGTTTTCTATGTAGATTAAAAGTCCAGTTATTATAAAATGAAAAACTGAGCTATTCCAAGGAATACATATGCATTTATGCAGTGATCTTTCTATATCCATAAATCTACAACAGATAAGAATAAGTCCCGAGGATAGGACCACTCCCTGTATTCCTGGGAGAAATCCAAAACATTAATTTTGTTTTACTAAGAATCAATGAGAAACCTTTGGTCAAAGCTCAAAATGAATGAAAGCAAAAACTTCACATAGATTGGGGATTTCTGTGCTGGCTTGTTCCAAAAAGAAGAAATCCTTAAAAAGTGTGAGAAAAGCTGCTCTTATGTTGTTTTTGACTCCAACATGGCCAGAATTTTTCATTTGTATTGTTACACTCATATTTATTATAGCTCATTTAAATTAAAAAAGTGCTAGAAACCTCACCAAAAAATCCTGAAACAGGTTGAAACAATTACAAAGATATTTAGATTTTTTTTCAAAACAGTTGTGAGACCACTCTGTTCTCTTTTTTTCCTTGTGACATTACACAATTTCTAACAAATACCATGAAGAAATTACTTTGGCGAGCACTTGGTAAAGAGACTTTCTCAATTTTTTAAAGAGGTATTGTGAAGACAGAGTTAAAATTAAAATATTTCTAGTTTTCATTAATGAGTATTGCTGACATAAAATATTAAAGAAAACAAAAAAAAGGTTGTCTCTATACCAGTTTATGCAACAACGTGTAAAGGTTGACTGAAATAACAGAATACTGAAATATAACATTCTGTTATAACATTTTCCAGTAAAATGATGTCGGTATGATGTAATGACTAGCTTTTTTTAACAGTAAGTAAGTTTACTGTATACATTACCCATACATTTGAAATTCCTATACATTTCCTATGTGTTTGAATTTCCTATATGTTTGAAAACATTACTGACCTAGGCAGATAAAGCAGTCATGGGAACTACAATACTCACAATAAAAATAAATCACCATTCAACAGAAGCATCGTATATATGCACATATACATGTACAGACACACATAGACATATGTAATATGTGGTTTTTATAATTGTAGCCTTCAATCTGGGGAAACAAAGCAGGCATTTGGGGAACAGAATGAAGTTGTACATAAACAGATGTTGTTAACAAGGATAAATACCAATATTATCCATTGTACAATGACTCTTTGGAGTAATTATCTAGAAGACAATTAAATTTAAAAAAAAAAAAAAAAGGCACAGACAAACCCTCCCTCCAACCCCAGAGAAACTTAATTTTCCTAAAGGTTAACTATGTTCAATGCCCAACCTACTGATTTTGGTGAGGCTAAGAATCTATTTTCAACCGTACAAATGATGTGTTAACTTTGTCAGGATATAAACCAGTGGAATGCCTCAGTGCAACTGTGCTGTGTCCAGCTGATTCAGAAAAAGCCCTCCGTTAGCACTGGAGAGGGTTGAAGGCCCATACAGAAGTCAAAGAACGACTTCCAGTGCAAGTTGCTGTCATTTTGAAAGGTGATGAAGTAGAACATGTAGAAAGCACTCTGGTAGCTCTCTGGGGAGGAAAGAAAGTCTGGTTTAGACAATCTGCCTTATAAGGTAGGTAGTTTATTTGCTAATCCATTCCAGACCATGGCAGTTTAAGAGATTTTTTTTTTTATCTTTGTTTTCAGAGGCCTCAGTTAAGACATGTGAGAACAGGATATAGACCAGATCTTAGAGATGGACATCTTTTGCCTTAAAATAATCTTTTAAAATATCTGGATTTATTAAAAATACAGATAAAAACATTTACGTTCTTGAGCTATTCGATAAAGACAAGTAACGTCACACTAGAAAAAAATTCTTTGGCCGTATACATCTGGTTCTCTTGTATTATGTGTGTATGGGAAGACAAATAGGTAGAGGATTTGAACGCTTAATTTTGAGTGCAAGAACAATATTTTCACAGAGAAAGCTCCTTTGTACTTGCTTTTACATGAGTGAAATCTTCCCTGCATTGTTAGGTGCTGACTGTTCATATTTGCTTTGGTAGTCTGATATTGTCTGATCAATTCAAGGAAATATAAAAATATGTGTCCCCATATTTCTCAAGACCAGTAAAGTAGTTAGTCACTTGGCATCAGTAAGCCTATTTTTTATACCAGTGAAAAGACAATTCCACTGAAATCACAAAAGTGGAGTGAAAAATCTGGATTTGCCTTTTTAGTATATGTGAAACCTACAAATAGACATATTGTGTTTCTTTGTCTTTCACACAGTCTGATGGAAATTCTAGAATCATTCTTGAACCCTTGCCTTTCATAGGGTACAACAGTTCTTGTACTGAATGTGTTAATCTATTTGGATTGTCTGCAAATTCAAGCTGAATTTTATGTTTAAATTTAACTTTCACTATTTATTGTGGGGAGATCTAGATTTCCGTTATCTTTTTCCTCATTTGTTTCATTTAAGTAAATAAAAAGTTGTTTTCACATTAGCATATTGAAACAAATGGCACATTATAAGTTAAATACAGCTGGTACACTCTGGAAAAAAAGGGAGGGCTCATAAAGGCACTTAAGCACGGAAATCTTTCAAGAATAAATCAAAATAGTTTTTAGAAAGCTCTTGTGGGACAAAAAATGGCAATGGAAGAAACCACCATTTACATTATAGTGGGTGGGAACCCACAAAACTAAATTATTTATGGCATAAGAGCGCTCAATAGAAACATGATTCTGGGGCAAATGTGATTCTACTTATGCCATGGAATATCTTTCACTTTGGTGAGATAAAAAGGAAAAAATTGGCCATTCTTCCCAGCAGAGGCAGGAAGTAAAGAGAAAGGCCAAGAACAGATATATTTCTAGTCTAAAGAACATGCATTGGTCCCCTGTTGATATGCAGTGTTCATTTTATTTAAGGATAATATACAAGTTACTGTAGTACATCAACAATCAGTTATTATTATTATAAGATTTTGCATTATTTCGTCCAAAATCCAGTTCTTTGAAAGTTATTAAGATTATTTTTTTTCATTTTGTATGGAGGAAATTTTAGCACAGAGAAAAAAATGATCTGCCCACAGTACACCATCTGTTTTGATTATTTTTGAGAAGATAATAGTTCCTACAGTTGTTCCCACTGCAGTGTATACCTACTGCAAAAGAAAGGCCCTTTCCAAAAAAGCTTACAATCCACATAGGCAATGTGGATAAAAGGAGTTTTACTGATGTGAAAGTGATATGGAGTGGGATGAAGACATTTTAACTGCAAACAACTACTGAACATAGCCTGATGGGTAATCTATAAGTACAGTTTAAAGTTAGGTGAGATAAAATAGTCAACATGTCCAAGAACCTAGTATCTGCTTTGTCCCATAGTGAACCTGACACACACATGATTGATTTCAGGATCAGGACCTACAAGGCCAAGATTACTCAGTTCTTTGTTAGGTGTAGATGATGATACAGGAGCCAATGATCCACATTTTAGTGTAGTTGTAACACTTCCCTCTCCCTAATTTTACCATTCCCAAGTGTGGTGGTTTGACCCTGGCTGGATGCCAGGGGCCCACCAAAGCCGCTCTATCACTCCCCTCTAACCAGACAGAATAGAGAAAAGTAAATCAAAAGGCTTGTGGGTCGAGATAAAGACAGGGAGAGATCATTTTATCAGTTACCATCATGGGCAAAACAGACTCAACTTGAAAAAATAATTAATTTATTATCAATCAAAATCAGAGAAGGAGAGGAGAAAAACTGCTAGATCTTAAAAACCTTCCCCCCACCCCTCCCTTCTTCTCTGGGCTCAACTTCACTCCCAGTTTCTCTATCTACTTTCCCCCAGTGGTGCAGAGGGACAGGAATGGGGCTTGGGGTCAGTTCATCACACGTTGTCTCTGCCGCTTCTTCATCCTAGGGAGAGGACTCTTCCCCTGCTCCAGCGTGG